GTTAAGGTACAGCTCTCTTCAGCAAATACAGGTTTTGAATACTTCTGAATGAAATGAATATCTGCCTTTTGACTGGTCTGCAAAAAAGTATTATTAAGTGTGAGACACTCTGAATACTATTTTTTTTGAAGATGGGAATAAGAAATGGGCATTGAAAATACATTTCATAGAATTTGCCAGCAGCAAGAAGTAGCAAGCCAATTATAGGTGATTGAAAATCAGCTTGCTCTGATAATCTCCAGATTTCACGTGTTCATAGATTTCTGAAATGCCCACACTCTAAGCTGAATATTTTTATGTTTGTATTTTTAAAAAGATTTCAGAATGTTAAAGCAAATTTTGAATATTTTTTGTATGAAAGATACTTCAGCTGATGTTGAGAAAGGAAAAAGGCCTGACTGCATTCTCTGAAAATAAAGGTACAGAAAAACAGCTGCACCTGAGAACTGAAACTTGGCTGCTCATGAAGGCTGGATTCACAAAGGCACTTGACTGCTGTCACACAGCATTTAACTTCCAGCCTTCAGACTTCCGAAGTACCTGAGTTACTTCAATGTTTCCCTGTGCCACAAAAGGGAAGGGTTGGTCACCTAAAGGTACATCAGTACTGCCAAGTGACAGGGGAATATGAGAGGCAAGCTTGAGAGCGAGACTCATCTTGTTCTCAGGTCACTGCTTAAGTGTTAACGCTCCTCCTGGATCTGTTTTGGACCTCTCCATCTTGTTGTCTCTACACAGTGCTTGTGCACTGTTTGGAGGACAGAGACTGCTTCCAGATAGCTGCGTGAAGATACCCGCCCCCTCCCTTCTTTCCAATGCTGACCCAAGTGAAGTCTATCAAACATAATCTCACTCCATAGAATCATATAATTATAGAATTGTCTAGGTTGGAAGGGACCTTTCAGATCACCTAGTCCAACCATCAACCCAACACTGACAAAACCATCACTAACCCATATCTCTATGCACTAAGTCTACCCATCTTTTAAATACCACCAAGGATGGTGACTCAACCGCTTCCCTGGGCAGCCTGTTCCAGTGCTTAATAACACTTTCAGTGTAAATTTTTTTCCTAATATCCGATCTAAACCTCCCCTGGGGCAGCTTGAGGTCATTTCCTCTTGTCCTGTCTCCTGTCACTTGAGAGAAGAGACCAACCCCAACCACTCTACAACCTCCTTCCAGGTAGTTGTAGAGAGCGATAAGGTCTCCCCTCTGCCTCCTTTTCTCCAGGGTAAAGAATCTCAGTTCCCTCTGCCACTCCTCATAAAGCTTGCTCTCCAGACCTCTCAACAGCTTCCTTGCCCTTCTCTGGACACGCTTCAAAACATGCAACATTACATTTAGCTTCCTTTTACTCTCATTGCCCGCTGTACAGCCTCCTGTAATTCCAAATACTTTGGGCTGAAAAATAACCACACAATTTAATTATTATGTATTTTAGTCACTCAGGCACCAGGTGGGACCCAGAGGAGATGTAATGCCAAGTACTATGTAGTAGTATAGGATGTAGCCAGCTTGGAGCAGAAGGTGACAACAGTAAGCAGTGTGGATGTAAGCCAGTCCCCGCCACTTGGCCTCAGAGTGTGCTCATATTTTATTTCACCAGCATAACACCTTCTGAAACAGAGGTCTGCAACATCCAGCTTGATCAGGAAGGAACTGTGTGTGTTGGTCTTTGTCAGAGGCTGATACAGATATGGCAGAGGCTGATATAGATATGTCAGAGGCTGATATAGATATGGCAGTGGCTTCTATAGAAGCTTTCTCCATGTGCCTTCTGTTTGGAGTCACAGCACAGCCTTTTAAAAACTGTGTTACCTCTCTGTAAACAAAAGCAGGGAACCTTCCTTTCTTGTAAAATGCCACCATTTTTGTACCGGGGATATTAAAACATTCAGACAAGATACAAGACATCTGTGTCTTGTTCCTTCTTTTTGAGCAGTAAGAATTTATCTTGACTACTTCACTGTGGACTGTGTCTGGGAATCCCCTGGCTAAAGCTGTTCTGTAAGGCAACAAGAATTCAAGATTCACTGGCCAGTGTAAATAGATATTCTAACTGACCTTTAGGGTCATATCCTAACAGACTAGGGATATGATCTGGATGTCTAGCAGAGAAAGACATGACAATTACCTCCTAGACTAAACTTCTGAGAAAGTAAGGCTCACATAAATATTTATGATATTTGATTGATATAAAAATAACATAAAGACAGTCCCTGTCTTTTCTCCTCTAGCTATGCATTTCAGGAAGAAAATTGCCAGGAAGTTTTTTTGAAAGGTCAAGATCCTATAGGTACATGTGCTGTCAGCACAAGTACCAAAGTGGACTTGGGAAGGCAAGGATGGGAGAATATGTGGATTACAGCTGAACTTAAAGGGTCAAGTCGGTGCTGAAAACTTTGCATTGACAATACTTCTGGGCCTGGGAAGAAGCATAATTTTAAGCATGAAAGGACCTTTGCGGATAAAATTCTCGGTGCCCACAGATAGAAATATCTCTGGCTTTAAGCAACAATTTCAAAGTAATTTTGAAGGTTCCGTTGTTGACCATAAGTATATATATTGCTAATGTTCTGCTTTTGGTGCTAATGTTTTTGTAAAAATGGACCTGTTCTAGGTTTGGAGTTATAAAGATAAAAAAGCGACTCTAAAAAGTAGTTCTGAGCAGTGGAAATAATGAAGTCCAGCTTTCCTTGGATTTGTACCTTGTATTTGAATTTTCTGCTGTTTAGTAAGGTGAAAATACTGCCTAGTGCTTTTTTAACCCATGGGTCATTCATAGCATCATTCCGCCATGTGAATTCTTTGATATCTGTGAGGCACTGACCTTGTGCTTCAGGTTTTTGCTCAATAAAGACAATTACTGAGCCCCTCTCCTTCTCTTCTCCCAACTGCCTGTTTTCAAAAAAAGTGCTTTTTTAACCCATGGGTCATTCATAGCATCATTCCGCCATGTGAATTCTTTGATATCTGTGAGGCACTGACCTTGTGCAACTGCCTGTTTTCAAAAACCTTACAGTATCTTGATGTGCTGAAACCTGAAGTCTTCAGTCAAATTTGATTGAAATTGACTGATAGGCTCAAAAGCTATTGGAAAAGGACAAATAAATATACCTTCACACACACCATCAGTGTTGTGTGAGTAAAGTGCATTTCCCTAGGAAACCAAGGCAAAAGTCATCTCTGAGCATACTCAGAAGCATCTGCTATAACTCTTAACAGAGCCATTTTCATGTAAAAATGTCCAGTGTAAAAAGTATGTTCTGCATGGTTCTCTGAATATCAGTGATTTAACATGCCATTTTCATGTAAAAATGTCCAGTGTAAAGAGTATGTTCTGCATAGTTCTCTGAATATCAGTGATTTAATATCAAAAAGGGAAAAAGGGAAAAAGAAATTCCAGAGAAAAAGAACTACCATTTTAGTACAATCCTGACAATACAAACCACGAGTCGGTTTAGCGCATACTATTATAGTGCAATCAGATTCACACTTTCAACACAAGTCACCGTGAAAAGAAAAAGAGTTTAATTTGTTCAAATTCATATTAGAAATGTTGCATTTATTCATAAACCAGCAGAATGACTGAAAGGAGTGCCATTGTTTTGCATTTTCTTGTCCAGGAATTTTGAAATCACTGAGGAACCTGTAGCCCTTTGTCATTGCTTTAGATTGTCACTCCAGCACAAGAAACTTACGCTTCACTGCATCATGACAAGATGCTCTTGCAGGGAATACCTAACATGCACTTTTAACCCAAGATAGATTTTCTACCCTGAAAATGTACATTGTAATAGTACATACCATTTTCAAAGTCTGAGATGAAAAAATTAAATAACAAAATGAGAGGGTCAGGGAGATACTGAGAACTTCACATGGTTATCAAATGTAACCAATTTGTGCAGTCTAAATTTAGATATGGAGGATTCAGTGAAAGTTCTTACAACATGATTTATCCTACCCTTCAATAGGGGAGATAAAGAACATGACGCCAAAAGGACCTATTTCTCTCCATTGAACATGGCAGGCACATTGTTGAATAGACGCCCGACATTTTGGGGGCTGAGATGATGTGAAGGATCATTAGAAATAATGGAAAAGCCTTATGCAAAAACCTTTCCCTAACCTGCACACTCCGTCTCTAGGAAACCCACTCCCTTCTAGTGCAAACTGTAGCATATATCACTGAAAGTTTATATCTACACACTAATTCCTTCTGTCAACCATGCCTGGTGTTAATGACTTTGACTGGAAATCCTAAGCTCATTGAGTGTCTCTTCATTGACCCTGGTGGCTGTTTTAAGTTCATCCTGTGCAGCTGTGTTGTGCCATGCCAGTGTGTAAGTTGAAATGCATTAGGCTGTTTTCTAGAATGTTTTTTTTAACTCAACACATTGAAAGCATAAAAAAAACCCCAGCCCTGTCTGGTCTCCTTATAAAATTGTCTGAGAAGACAGAAGGGTATTTTCGTCTGAAAACAGAATTATGTCTCTTTCTCATGGTGCAGTTCTGAATAATTTTATAGAAGTCATCAAGATTATTCTGGATTTACTGTGCTTTAAGAGAGAGGAGAATCTGATCCAGTGATGGTGTGACTGGCAGTTCTGGCTTGAGTAGGAAGAGAATGGTGGCTCTTCAGAATCCTCTGTGTTAGGGTCGGTCAGTTACTGATCCAGCTGCTGATTCCCTGGATGCTTTTCCTTCACTTTTCAGTAGCCTTTGTGCGGGAGGGCTGGGGAAGCAAGCACTGCCATCCATAGGGGAGTGTTGATTTTTGCATTCCTGCAAATCGCTGCTGGCTGTGCTAAATGAAGATAATTGGCAGGAATTGATTAGTGTCATAGGAGGGTGTTATTAAGGGCTGAGCTCTTTTCTCAAATTGCCCCTTTTGCTCTTACTGCTTGAGAGGCATAATCTCAGCGATCCCAAGAGTCACAGAACAGGAGATTGATTTCCTCCTTTTTCTTTTTCTTTCCCCACCTTAAACTCTGCAGGTCAGTCCCACCCCAGGGTGCATCCGGGCGTTAATGAAGATGTTGTACTGCCCTTACTGCAGAGGACTTCCCACTGTGAAACCTTGCAACAACTATTGCCTCAATGTAATGAAGGGCTGCCTGGCAAATCAGGCTGATTTGGATACTGAGTGGAATCTGTTCATAGGTAAGAAGAGTTTAAATATTAGTGGAAGGAAATGCTGATAATAACAAACATCTGTAGAGTTTTGTGGGGTTAGAAGACACAGTTGGTCAATATTCGCAATGAAACAACTGCAGATACACTTGACTTCCTAATTGACCTTCCTGGCTTGCGGTAAGAAATCGACTCTTCCCACACTGAGCCAGTCACATTTCATATTTCAGAAGGAATGGTGTGGTGTTATGGATTCTGAGCTGAATTATTACATGGTATGTGAAATGTTGAGAAAGCTTTGGTTGAGAACTTGATAACAAGCTTAACATGGTAGAAATAGTATGCATTACAACTGAAAACCAGGCTCTTGTAAGCTGAGAAATTGATAATATTGTATAATATCCAGTCAACATAAATAACAACAGCTGCTGTTCTTAATTCTGGTAGTATATAGGGAAAAACCTTAAAATTTACATACATGAGAAATTATTAATTCCTTGTTCTTGATTAAAATATGTTAATGTCTTCCTTTCAGTCTACTGAATAGAAAGTAAAGTATGCAATCAAAATGTTAGAATGGAGCACAGAATATGTATTTCAGGAAAACTGGTATTAAAGTTTTAGTCACATAATTCTTCACTCAAGTAAACTAAGAAAAAACAAGAAATCTCCTTTAAACAGCCATTCAGGTATACTGTAGGGAAAAACAAAAAAGAAAAACCAAACTCCCATGAGTAACATCTAACAAGAAATAAGAGATTCAAGTTGCTTTGATGATATAAAGGATAGGATAAGGAATATGGTAAGGCTAATGATAATACAGAAGTAACAGGAACAACTAGTTACCAGTCGTTAATGAGCATCATAGCCTAGACTGGATTTCCGGAAAATAAAAGCAGCTGGAAAATGTGGGACAAATCTCTCTGTATTAAAACAAAACAAAAAGTTAATGTTATTTTCTACTTTTGGAAAGACAAAATACAAACAATCTCATTTTGCTTCATTTCAAACCTCACTGACCAGTGTGACTTTGAAGACTTGACTCTGACTCATTCACAGATTTTCCCTTTACTCAGCACAGAGGTGGTGCAAGATGAATAGGGAGAAGGAAACAGGATGAAAAATGAATCAGAGTATGAAAAGTGAAAAACAGCATTGAGTGTGCTATTAAAATAGCATAAGCCAAAAATGCAAACAGCAATAATAAACAAATGATGCCAATAAACATGCCTTCTCAGTCCCTTGTACTGCTTAAAGGAGCTGATGTTGGAAGCAGCGCTATATGGACAGGTATCCATGGGATTACTGGTGTGAAAGAGGTCAGTTCATCATCAGAAAGCTAAGTAGGAACACATGGGCAAACGATGCCTACCTGCTAAAGACATAGCATAAGCCACTTTCCTTTTGTCATTGAAGAGTAAACAAGAGCTGAATTGTCACTAATTCTGATCAAAGAAAATAATGTAGGGTTTTAGGAAAAAAAACACCAACACTTTAACTGAAATAAACACAGAGGTTTTTATTAAGGCAAGCACCTGTTCAAATCAAAAGCTGGAAGGTAAGACTTCAGGTTTTAAGAGAAGATTTCCTTTTCTGGTGGTTTAAATTCAGTGAGAGTGCTGGGCAGGATGAGGTATGTGTTTGAAAGTGTGGAAATGTGTGCAGATTCAGACTTTCAGTGTCTTTGATGCAAAGCCCTTGTTTCATCAATGCCTTTCAGAGTTTGATTGTTCCTGCTCTCAGAAAAGAAAAACTGCATGAACGCTTGTACATTTTGTTAAACATAGTGCTAATTTATTAAATACTGTGTAATACACTGTGTGCTTCCTTAAAGGAAAGCAGGCTGCTATGCAATTATCCCTTCAGGTCAGTGATGACAAGGCAAGTACAAACACATCAAGACACATTTTCTCTTTCTTCTACCTATACAACTTTCCATGTACAACTTGATGGGGGAAGGAATAGAGGTTTTTCCTCTGTTTGCGAAAGGTATTGTGTTTTATCCCAGTTTTGAGGCCTCCGACAGCTGTGCTGAAGATGAGAGTCCTTAGTCCTTCCTTTATGAAAGATTGAAATGCGGCAAGTTGTCTCTGTCTGACAGCTGTCAGAGGCCTTTGAGTAACACAGGCAATTCCCTTAGTACTAAACACAACAAAACTTCGACTCGCTGAATTAAAACGAATGGCAGCACTTTACAGCACCGCTGAGCTATGAAAGATTGGAAATTATGCATGAGCAGTTTTTATCCCTGTTCCGATACTAGGAACCATGCACTAGGAAAAAAAAAAAAAAAGATAATTTTGTGCACTAACAGTCTCTGCGTAGGCAGGAGTCCCAAATGTGAGTGCATATTCATACGCAGCAAGATAATTTTGCTTAGCTCATAATCTGTGCATTGCAAGGTTGTTTTGGTAAAAGTTGGTAATAGGAGAAAAGTCTCAGATGTGCTTCTCAGTGACTAAGCAAATACTGTAGTTTGGACTGCATGTTCTGGTGTTGTTCTGTAGTTGCTGTAATTGTCCAGCAACATCCAAGATCTACAAGTGAGGAGGAGCAGAGGGAAGTAAATGGGCTCTCTTGACAACAAGATGTGTTACATGTTCCACCTAGTTTATAAATATAAAAGTCAGGACTGAAATCACATTTATATAGCACTAATAAATCTTGCATCCACTTTCAAAGCTAGAGAGAGTGGGACAGCTTCCCCTAAACATCTGGTGCTTTCCAAGATTTTATAGACTGTGAAAATTGGTAAGAGGTGAAACAGCTGCAGCAGCATGACACACGGTTTATTATATTTTTCCTGTTTGTGTCACCTTAAGGTCTGTGTCCTTTTTGTGTAATGTTTCATTATAGGCTTTTCGTATTTTGTTGCCTTCATTATCGCACAATAAAAGCAAAATGTAGCACATCTCATTCTAGCAGAATTCCTCTGAAACTGAGAAAGGAAGACAGCCTAATAATTACATTATAATTTTAAAATTATAATAAATAAGGTAATAAATATATAAATAATATAAAGGTATCTGTATAAAAGACTTATGAGGTATTTAAAAGTAAACCAGCCACACTGGCTTTGAAAACGTGTATTTTGACAAAGCTTGTTTCCAATGCTTTGCCTGTTAGTTACCCCTCATAATCTCCTTTGCACCAGTCTCAAGCAAAGTTAGCAAATGCAAGATAAAAAGAATGAGTAGAGGAACCATACTGCTGAGGAAGGAGATTGCCTCAGGGGAGGAGCTGACTGATTTGTGGAATGGGGAAAAGGGAATATTCTCTGTCTCATGGCACAACAGAGATAGTAAAAATTATGCTTCTCTCCATGGAGCTATACCAATTAACAGCGATAAGGATCAGGGATCCCACCGTTCATTCTGTCATGGAAACACAGAAGAGATGGAGAAAACTATTCCCATTTGCAAAGATTCAAACCCCTCTATCTTAGGGAATTGCATTCAATTTTAGCAATACTGTTACTCCTCTTTCTCTAGCTACCCCGTATTTCAGTCCTTGTTTCTATCTTGAGATTTTTTTACTTTCCCTAACATTAACTTTCTCTACAATTGATTATTTAATTCCCTTGAACTGCTCTTTTTCTCAAGCATGAATGTCAGTCAAGGAATGAACTCCCCTTAATGGGCACCACATTTCTCCTTGGTGCCTTCATTCAGCTTCAGAACCAACACCCACGAAAAGCTGATTTCCATATAAGCACATGCATCTTGTTCTGAGATTCAGGATGGCAAAGTGGCCATAACGTGGTCGGTTTTTTTCAGGGGCCGGGGGGGGAGGTTCAGGATATCTCTCATGATTAGCAGTGGGGTTAACTTTCTTCTGTCTTGAGACAAAAACATAGACGATACTAAATCTGAATGTCAAGCCAGATTGTCAGCCAAATATGATACTCCTTACTTAAATAATTCAGAACAACAGAAGACTGAGAATTCAAGTAGTGGCTTTAATCACAGCAATGACTCTACCTGGGCTTTTTTTTAGTGGACATCTAAAGTAAATCACAAACACTTTGTTGCTGTATTTAGTGATGAACTGTACACTAGTGTAGTGCCTGTGCAGTAGTGTAGTCCATGGATTGCTTTGCTGCAATCCATGGAGGTTTACCACTGCATTGCTATTTATAGCAGCAGAAATTACAAGTAATTTTTTTTTTTTTCCCTAGGAATTATTCAGTGGTAAATCAGACACACCTGGACCTCACTCCCATGTTTTAATAAGTGGGAGACTGCAGAAAACACTTCAGAAGTTGTGCAGTAACAGAGATGTGTGAATGATCGTGATTTTGATGGCTCAGGATTGCATCCCTGTCTGTGAAAAGGAGCTAAGGGGCTCCTGCACCAGAGCATGTCCACAGCCATCCTTCTGCTCAGGCTGGAGAGCAAGTGGCTTTGCTAGCAGTCTATTCAATATTTGACCAGCTCTGTAGTGTAGCAATGCAGATCAGCTTGTGGTGTGTTCACACTGCAGTATTCGAGGCCAGCAAAGCTGGCATCCTGGCTCAGAGTGCCAGAGCCACCTCTTCCTGACAGTGCCCTGTTAGACTTCAGCCACAGGAGAAAATCATATCTGAAAGGTTTCAGCAAAGGCTTCTCCTGCCAGTCTTGAAGTTATTTCACTTACTGTCAGTGCAGCAGCTCTGAATGACTAATAAACTTTCTCGTTATTGTGCTTTAAGAATCCCTTTTTCTTCTTCCCATCAGTATGACTCAGACACTTATCTTAGAAGACCTCTTGAGGTAGAGCATACCATGCAGTGTCATTTATAGCAACTCAATCATTTTAAGTAAAAATCCCCATCAAAACCTTAACTACTTACTCCTAATGAAAGCATTAGAGTAATGAAAATATGCAATCAGTTTTATTTACTGCTTACAAAAGCCTTCAGGACTCTGTTTTCTGCAAGGACAAGGATAAACATTTTCCTTCGAATGCTTCAAGAAGCCACCTAGATTTATCTCTTTTTACTGGTTTATTGCAAGAATAACTGTGCTCTTCAAGACTCACTTTCGTTCATG